CCGGCGATGCCACGGGGTCCCGGCCACCCGGGTCTCGTACCCCCTGACCCATACGTGTCGTTAGCGGGGAAGTCTCAAAGAGCAATAGGCAGGGCAGGAGTTGCAGAAGCAGCGGAGGGAGGAGGAGAAGTGCTCAAAAAATCGCTTTCGGAGCCATTAATGAGAGCCCCTGAATCGAGGCGGGTTTTGGCACGGAGTGGTGCCCTTCCCGGGGGCCGGAGGGGTTAATCCCACCGGGGGCAAGGTGGGGCCCTGCCGGACCCCCGTTGGGGCTGACCCCGCACATTTCGGCTCACCCCGCGAAGGGGATGCCCGGTGCCACTCACAGCCGGTTTCACACCCCCAGGCCCCCCATTTTCACCCCCATCGGGGTCCGGTGCAGCCGAGCGGGGCGAGCGCTTGCCCCGTGGCCCCTCGACGTGCAGCGCTGGGGAAAGGCGAAGCCAAATCTCCTTTTAGAGAGCGAATGTTTCCCCTCGGTTCAGCTCGGTCGCGCTCGCTGGAATGCCTGGGCTTTTTATAAATCCCTCCTCGAGCTGAGGGATGGGCACGAGAAATGCCAGCGGGAGAAGGGAAAGGGGAAAAGATAGTGGGAAAGCGGGATAAAGCATTTTCGGGTGCCGGGTCTGCCTGCAAACCTCGTGGCTTTAGAAGAGCTCTAAATAGAAATGTATTTTTTTAAATGTATTTTTCTTGGAGAATTCAGGGCTGCCTAAATTTCCTTTTGTTCTTCAGGGCAATTCTATTTTTCTTTAACCCCCCGGCACATCTTAATAAATCTTTTTTAACTGCATGATCTCCAACACTTATCAGAGGGTTGGTTTTTTTTCTCTTCTTTCCCAACTCCTTAAAACGCTGATATAAAAATAAAATGAGATCCGGCCCTTCGGAAGAAAAGCATAAACGTTCCCGACACCTTGGAAATGTGGTTTTACTTTATAGCATTACTTAGCACCTGATCAGCATTTTTTTTTTAATAGCAAAGCCATAAAACCCCGAGCAGGTATTTTCGTTGCGACTTGCACATTCCACAGGCTGCCTGCGTCTCTCCGGCCCTTTCCTCTCCGATCTGAAAACTTCACACTTTTCCCTTTTAAAACACATGTTGGGTGCTGTGTTTGCGCGGAGGGGAGGAAAAATTGCAGGGGGGGGAAGGAAAAAAAAAAAAAATAAAATTGGCCCCTCCAGAGGCTCCTGCTTGGAGGAGCAAAAAAAAATTGGGGGGGGGAGGAATAAATAAAATTGGCCCCTCCAGAGGGTCCTGCTCGGAGGATGGGAAACGTGTCTGGTCTACGGCGCTCGTGTGTGTTTCTGGTGCTGTTTAGATTAAGATTTAGGGGAATTAGGGCCCGGAGCGCTGGGTCTGCTATCGGCGGCGCTGGAGCAGCCCCGGCTCGGAGCTCGGCTAATGGAGGAGCGGGCGCTGGGTGGGCTCAGCTGCTTTTTTCGGAGGCCCCGCTGGAGGATGGGGTGAGCTGGGGGCTGAACCCCCCAGGGAAGGCTTTGCTTTGGGGGTGGGCAGGATGGACCCGTGCCATCACCCATGGGTGCTCGGGGTGCCCTGGGGTACCTGGCACCAACGTGTCCCGGGTGCTTTTACACTCGGATGCTTTTACACCCACCCCAACAGCATCCCCTGAGTAACGAGAGGTGCTGCTAATTAAGATATGTCCACGGTAACGAGGATTTTTGAGCATTAATTGCACCGGGGTGGGAGCCAGAGCAGCCGGCGGGTGCTGAAAGCCGATCGGGGCCGGAGAGGTCGGAGGGGAGAGGAGGTCGTGGCGCTTTCCGGGAGGTAATTTGGGATATTAGCCCGGCGCGTGCGGATGGAGCCGATAAGGCTGATGGACACGGAAAACCCCGGAGCAGGGTCGGGGGTGCCTTTTCTTTGAAGCCTTGTGGCAGAGGGGTCTCCCAATAAAGCAGCGTTGGGGGGGCTTTCCCATCACGGAGGGTCTCCCCGGTGTGGAGCACCCTCGAGGGGTCCCCGTGCCAGCTCCGGGGCGGCCCCTCGGGGTGTCCTGGCATGGGGAGCACGTGCCGGGGTGCGAGCGATGGGTTTTGGCAGAGCCCAGGGGCACATGGTTGGGATTAGGTGGGTTGGTCAGTGCCGGTCTCGGCCGGGAAGTGCCGGGGGGGGCTGCGGGCCGGGC